AGAATGCATGAAAACTTCTCAAAGAGCACAGGAAGAAAAGCATTGATAAACAGGAATCAGGATTGTAGCCAGCTTATTAAAGGATGTATTTGTGTGATAATGTGTGGACAGAATACAGCAGCAGGTCCTTAAAGAAGAACCTGACATTTTATTTCCTTTTTTCCAGGCACTAGTAACCTACAAAAGCATGAACCACAGAGGCATCATTAGCCTCTGTTGGCCAGGTTTTGAAAGAAAGCACAAAATAAAGTGGGTTCCCATGGAACATGATTCTGTCACAGTATGAAAGTACCATACATGTTATCAGAACACCACAGTGGTTGGATGTGGCTTCTGAGCATGATCAGGCTAAGGCATTCAGAACTGCCAACACTCAGATGCAACTAGACCTGTGGGGAACAAGGCTCCTTGGTAACTGGGGTTCCTTGAGGATCAGATGGGCACTGAGCAGGGTTTTCATCAGGACAGTTATGCTCTAAGCAACCTAAATTCCATTTACTTTCTTCTTTGGATCTGTTCTAACTTTAAAAGAATACTCTCCCTCTGAAGGCAATGCCATGAGGTTCTTAACAATTACTTTCCAGAAGCTGAGTTATGGTCAAACTGTTTTGGTACCAATAAAAGGTAACCTCATGGCTGTAAACCTTCTTCCAGATTAATCAGAGTATTTCCTGCTGTAGACGAGTCCTCATCCTACGCTGCCACAAGGGTCATGGTTTTCTTCTGAAGTTTCCCATTCAGACTTCTAGGCTTATCAAGAGTTTATCAGACTCCTGAAGAACAAGTTTGGTATCAATGCAGAGAACTCCTGAGAGTTTTAAAGCTTCTTATACTCTTACACTCTATTTTACTTCTTGAAATTTCCCCTTTAGCTAGGCTCTTCTAGAGTTATGAAATCAATGCTTTTCCCTTTACTCTGTGATTAATGTCCTTATATGTGTTTAATGCTATAAATTCAGAACACGTAGAAACCAATGAACACATCAACTCCAAGTCAACGCCATCTCAGCTAAGGAACTTGGCCCAGTTCAGTACCTCCGATAAATTTTCTTCACCAAACAAGCACAAACACACTGTTCTGCTCAAATCCCAAAGCAGGCCATGTAAACACACTGGCGTTGCCGCATTCCCTGGAGTTTAGAGAAACAAGGCACTTTCAGATCAGCAGCGACCTCCCAACATGACCATGGTTACTGGAGAGCAGCCTGCCACTCTGACATTTAAATCTGAAATCTGATGTACTTAGATCATAACATAATCACCTCCTCCTCCCTGGCTACTCCAGCTAAACCTCTCCCTTTTACTCATCTCATTAGTAACCAGCTTTGTGTTTATAAAGCAATAGTAAACATAGTTATCCATTGTCAAGGCAGAAAAATAATTAAAAAAATGTCTCCAATACAGGGTCATAGTTCCATCCACTTATCTCAAAAACCAGATAAACGATTTTTGAAACTGCCACAATAATTACCCCACGGGTAAAACTCCCACTGAATTCAGTGGCACAAGGTGATTGCAGTCCAAGCAGGGTGCAATCCAAGATGCCCTTTGTAGAGCCAATGAAAGCAAGGGTTCTGAAAACCTTGATCTGGCTGCTGTTGTGCAGGCCTCCTCGAGCGCGGAGTCCAATCGATTTCACCGCAACACTTCGCTGCTGTACAGCTCCTCCTGCTTCTCCCTGGAAGTAGAAGTCCACATTTGATCAGTGGCAAAGGCAGCTTCTACTCTTTCTTCGACTATCTGGCATATTTTGAATTTTTGAGGATTAATTGCTTTAACAGTCAGTGCTGATGGACTGCTAACGGTACTGAGTACAAGTCTGTTTGCAATTTTCAGGGTAACATTTAAAAGATCAGTTAGTTTTAATGGAAACCTGAAAGCAATTCTATGAATACGCTTTCTTTTCTTCTTGGTCTAGGACACAGACATCGCCCAAATTTTGTTCATGACTGAAATGCATCTACTGTGAGTATCTAGATATTAAGTCATGAATTCAATCCGCTGTGTTTGAAGGTTGAGACCACAACCATGGAAAAATGACTTAATGGAGAGTTGTTAGTATGGGGTAGGGTAGTCCATTTTCTTTCATCATGAGAAAGATGATTAAAAAAATATACCTTAAAAAAAGAAGTAAAGCAAAGAGAATACCAATTCCATAAAAACACATGCACATCAAAATGTTTTGGGGAGATCCCCCCTCAGTGCTGCCTTCAGCTCCGGGGACACCAACAGCAGAAGGACAAGGACCTATTGGAGTAGGACCAGAGGAGGCCAAGGAGATGCTGGGAGGGCTGGAGACCCTCTGCTGGGAGGGGGGGCTGAGAGAGTTGGGGGCTTCAGCCTGGAGAAGAGAAGGCTCCGGGGAGACCTTGGAGCCCCTTCCAGACCCTCAAGGGGGTTCAGGAGAGATGGGGAGGGACTCTGGATGAGGGAGGGGAGCCCAGGAGGAGGGGGAAGGGTTTGACCCTGAAAGAGGGGAGATGGAGCTGAGATCTCAGGAGTAAATTCTTTGCTGTGAGGGTGGTGAGAGCCTGGCCCAGGTTGCCCCGAGAAGCTGTGGCTGCCCCATCCCTGGAGGGGTTCAAGACCAGATTGGAGAGTGGAGCAACCTGGTGTGGTGGGAGGTGTCCCTGCCCAGGGCAGGGAGTGGAACTGGATGGGCTTTAAGGTCCCTTCCAACCCAAACCATTCTATGATTCTGTAAATCCAGTCTGTCCTAACAACATAATCTGCACCACAAAGTGACTCATACCAGAACTCTCAGGGTCCATAAGAGACTCTTTCCTCTAGTTACCCACATGTATGAAGAAGGATCATTCAGTCCACAGAGCCTTTTACCCTCCCCTTCAAGGAGGAGTCAGTGCTTTCTCCTCGCAAACTGCTCATCATGGAAATCTAAGCTTGTTTTTCCCAGAAGCAGCTCTTCCCTGAAATCTCTTTAGCAAATGAGTGCCTGCTGGCTAACACAGCGGATGTTTGCAGCCGTAAGTCACCCCACTCCAGTCCACATTTCATGCCTTCTCTGAGCTGACTGGCATGTGTGTGAAGCTCTCCTCCCTTTCCTTTCCCTGTGCTGGCGTTAGAAGTTGTCATCACAGATCTGGGAACTGATCTGCCCAAAGATGGGGCGTTTTTGTGACGGGGAAATTGGAGGTAGCTCTCAGATCAGTGCTCCAATCCAACTCACCAAGAACACACTATGGCCAGCCAAAGGACTTGAAAAAAACCTCTTTTTCAAGACCTTAAACACTTACCACAGAATTAAATTGGCATTGGCTATAGACTGCCCATCAATGACTTTGCTGCCCAACTCCAGGTGTGTCTGCCATGGATCTTTCTTATGAATCTATATACTGAAGGGTTTATAAATAAAAAACATGCCTTTAGGACAGAGGATGGAGCTCTCTGCTCTACGAGAGAGGTGGCCGCCACTCCCTGCCCTGAGGCCCCACCTCATACCCCTGACCCAAGATGATGGGCTCCCTCAGAGATGGGAGGCTGCCTCCAAGATGAGAGGCTCCTTCAGAGGTGGAGGGCTTCCTCCGAGATGGGGGGCTCTCTCCAAGATGGTGGGCTCCCTATGAGATGGGGGGGCTCCCTCCGAGATGTGGGGGCTCCCTCCAGGATGGTGATCTCCTTCAGAGGTGGAGGGCTCCCTCCAAGATGAAGGGCTCTGTCCAAGATGAGGGGACCCTCCAAGATGGCGGGCTCCCTACAAGTTGGGGGGCTCCCTCAGAGACGGCAGGCTGCTGCCATCCCAGGGAATGAGCAGTGTGGCCACCGCCTGATGCTTGGTTTTCCAGAGTTTTTTCCAGAAATTTTTATTTTGAACGCGGCATGTCCATCAGCAAAAGGTCTTCCTGTCACTGTAAATTTCATGCCTGGCAAAGAAGGAAGACCTATTCCTTGGAATACAAATGCATAATCCCAGAGAGTGTGGTTGAAAACAAACAAGCAGACAAATAAATAAATAAACAAACCCGATTCACCAGAATTAGCTTGAGGACGCCAAGTCTTAGTCACTTTACTTCACGGAAAAATCCAGAGGCCATACAAGAAGCTTCCAGCCAAGTTAAAAGATGGGTTATCACCCATTTTACCAAGAGGTAAAAGGGAAGGAAGGTGATAGCTGCCTGGACGCCTTTGTGCCCTCCCTGAACCTTACCCAGCCCTCCCTTTCCCGGGATTTCCCCATTTTCCGCAGGTCACTACATGTGGGTGCTGCCCAGGGGCCGTTCACCGGGCCCAGCAGCCCAGGCCCGGTTACCGGGATGGCGGCGGCGGCGGGAGGCCCCCCAGGCCGCCCCGGGGGCAAATGGCGGGCGGGAGGCCGCGGGGTAGGGGGGCGCCCGGCCGGGTTGCCCTCCGCTGAGGCGACGGCCGGCGCCACCTTCCTCCACGTCACTTGGAGGAAGAGGAGCCGGCGTCGGCCGAGAGGAGCCGGGGCCGGGGCGGGGGTTGCCCTTTAGCCGCTTCTCCGCCAGGGGGAAAGCGAAAGCGAAATCCCCGGTGCCGGCGGGGAGGGGTTTCGGCGGGGGCCGGGGGAGTTCACCGGGCCCAGCAGCCCAGGCCCGGTTACCGGGATGGCGGCGGCGGCGGGAGGCCCCCCAGGCCGCCCCGGGGGCAAATGGCGGGCGGGAGGCCGCGGGGGAGGGGGGCGCCCGGCCGGGTTGCCCTCCGCTGAGGCGACGGCCGGCGCCACCTTCCTCCACGTCACTTGGAGGAAGAGGAGCCGGCGTCGGCCGAGAGGAGCCGGGGCCGGGGCGGGGGTTGCCCTTTAGCCGCTTCTCCGCCAGGGGGAAAGCGAAAGCGAAATCCCCGGTGCCGGCGGGGAGGGGTTTCGGCGGGGGCCGGGGGAGAGTGAGGGGAGCCCGGCTGCCGGCGCTGCGCGGGACCGTGCGGGGGAAGCGCTTGTGGCGGGGCGGCCGCCTGCCTCCGCGGGGACACACCGCCGCTGTAAGTTGTGTGAGGCCCGGGGCGCCGGGCCTGATGCGGCCTTCCCCGAGGCGGGAGCGGCCTCCGGGGCTGGGACGAGCCCCCTGGGGGGTGCCACCTCCGGGGGGTTGGCACCGACGGTTGTGCGGCGGGAGGGCCGGGGTTTGGGTCCACGTGAGAAGGGGACCACAGGAGAGAGCTAAGGTGGGCCTTGGCTGGTGGCTGGGGAGAAGTTTTCCACTGTAAAGTCTGTAAAGTTTTCCACTTACAGACTTTCCCAAGTCAGGAATGGGTACGTAAGTGAGTAAATTTCAGTTACTTAACGCAAAGTAAAAGGGATTCCTGTGTCGTTGGCCAAAGATGGCCTCAACGCCGAACCACGTTGTCGGATGCAGTGGGGAGGGTGGTGGTGGGTAAGAACTGAGCTAGGGATTGTCCAGGTGGGAACGTGTGAGGTGTCTGGGTGGGTTGGGACACTAATGTCCAGATGGGTCAGGATGCTGATGTCCAGGTCCTGGCAGTTGTCACAGGCACTTAGAGACCCTCACACGCCATGCCAAGCCCTTGTCCTGGCATCCACAGTCTTGGGAACCTGCACCCCTCAGCATATGTTTGCGGACGAGTGGCCCACCAGCTTCTCTAAATTCCTTTTTATCTGCCTCTGCTAAGTGTTGTGACAACAGATGCCAGAGTTTACACTATCTGCTGTGTAAAGGAAGTGTTTTTCATTTGTGTTAAGTGGGTTTAAGGGTTATATCTGTTAAGCGCAGAGCACAGTACACACAGTGTTCTCATTTCTTTTCTTGTTCCCTCAGGTTTCAATGGATTTCACAAATCCCCCACTATCTTTAGTAGATAACGGTTTTGTAAGTATTTCCTGATGTGCTGCCTGGAAAAAAAAATCCGTCTTTGACAGTAGTGTCTCTGAGTGAAGGTTTGTGCTGGGACAGTGCTGCTGAAACTTCTTGTCTCCCCTTCTTCCATCCTTTCATACTCGGGACATTCCCACTTCCCACCTCCTCCTTCCATCAGGAGAGTCCCATTCCGAAGTGTCTGCATTACAGATCCTGTTGGAATTTTCCTGTCCTACCTCGTCTGTTTCTCCTGAGGTTTCTTGGGGGAATTCCCTTTTTCCTGGTGTCTTCCTGGATCAGTCCCTGCAGTGTGGCAAGTAGTCTGGACGGGACATTCCCTGGAATTTATTGTGGTTTCATTCTTATTTTTTTCTTTCTTGAAATGTTGAAAACTGTTGGCTTATATATTTTTTCAGTAAAAATCAGTCTTTCTTACCAGCTTCCAGCTGTGGCACGTGCATCCTCCTGCTTTCCTGCACTCAGTCCCTTGGGTGGAGGGATTTTATTCCGATTTTAAGTTATACACAGCTGGGGATTTCCCCGTTGCTCAACAGGCGTTTGAAACTGGACAAAGGAGTGGAAAAAAATATTTTCAATTTTATTGTTTTTAGGAAATACCCAGCATTACCAAGAGAATTGACAAGATTATCTAATTTAGACCTTTGCCATGCCTGAATTTCATGGTTCACATTCAAGTTTTATGTAATCTTCAGTAAAAGGGAGGGATTGTTGCAGCAGGTCTCTTTGGATATTATTTTTTTTCTTTTCTGCGGAATATTGCAGCCATAGAAACCAAACAGAAGAGAGAAAATTTTCTTTCTGCTTGGGCTTTACCCAGTTGTAGTTTTCCTGTGTTTGTCTGCCCTGAGGAACTTCAATTCTGAAATGCTTGTTTTATCGCCTTCCTCCTGCTTGGTGTTACCTTTTCTTGTCCAATCTCTCTGAGTTTGGAAGCATCGTATTTTGAATTTTTTTTTCTCACTAGGCCTGTATATTCTATATATGTTCTCCAAGAGGAACTGCTGAGAAAGATCTCCCTGAGTTTAGAAGCATCGTATTTTGAATTTTTTTCTCACTAGGCCTGTATATTCTTTATATGTTCTCCAAGAGGAACTGCTGAGAAAGCATGTAGATAAATGTTTGTGGGTTTGAGGGGCTCAATTCCCTGTGGAAGAACATAGAGACAAATTGCTTTTATTATTTATCAAAATATTAGCCTGTGAATATTTTCAGTTGGGTAGTTAGCAAATACTGATTACTCACGAGGAGCCATTTTTCTTACATTTTTGTCCTATCCAGCCATTAAAATAGTTCAATGGTTTGGCCTAAGTGCCTGAATGCATTTTTTAAAAATCATGTGGTATATGCTATCCTCTGGCATGCAGATTCTAGGGAGATTTAATTACGAAATACAATCGGTCTCTCGCAATGTTTGTCTCACCACGTGTTTTGCCTGTATAATTGGAGAAAAACAACAAATGGGCACAAAGGCAAAATACATTGGACTTTGATTAATGGTCATACATTGAAACCTACACTGGCAAAATGCTTCATCCAACTGCAGAGGGCTTATTTCTTTTTTTTATTTTAAAGCCTCATTTGAACTATTCAGAGTGTCTCATTTTTTGCCTGATGCAGGGGAAAACATGTGTGTGCTTCCTCTTTTCTCTCCAGAAAATGACAAGCCCTGACCCTTTGGGCTCATCAGAAAATGAGATGGAAAGACTGGAAGAAGAACTTAAGAAATGGAAGGCAAGTTCTATAAAGCACATAGAATCATGGAAATTAGCTGAATTATGCTTGGAGAACTTTAGTCCATCCTTCTGAAATTAAATCATCTCTCCTCCAATTATAATGTGTTTGTCTAACTTGTTCTTTATTCTTCAATGTTGATCTCAGTGGTAACTACACTTGTAAGTCTAAGAAAAATATCTATCCAAAGTGTTAAAAAGAAATAAAGGGCTTACTTAAGGTTCTGTTTCTTCCCGTGGAAGAAAAAAAAAGATTAAAAATCTTTTTTTTCTTTTTACTGTCCAGGAAAGAGTTGAAAAAGCTGAAAAAGTAAGAGATTACCTTCTTCAGTGTAAATCAAGTGCTGATGAAGAGTGTGTTAAAGCAGAGAAGGAGCTGATAAAGCTCAAGGACTTTCAAGAGAAACAGCAGAAGGACATTATTATGTCTAGGGACACCCGTCAGGTATGGAGAAGGCTTTCTCATAGCTGTTAGTATTTGGGGAGTTGTAAAGGAGGTGTTGATCAGAGAAAATAAAGAGTAATACTTCCTTTTCAGTTATAATGGCTTTACTGGTTTGCTGACTGAATGAGTAGAATGTTCTACACAGAGTTTTTTTAGTGGCAGATTAAGAACCAGTGCAATAAAATCTTCTGGCAACGATGGAAGAGTGAAGGCAAAACTGTGACCTGTTTTGTATAGAATCATAGAATCATATGGGGTTGGAAGGGACCTTTGGAGATCATCAAGTCCAACCCTCCCACCGGAGTGGGTCCACCCAGAGCAGATTGCACAGGATCTTGTCCAAGCGGTTTTTGAATGGCTCCAGAGAAGGAGACTCCACCACCTCTCTGGGCAGCCTCTTCCAGTGCTCTACCACTCTCACAGTAAAGAAGTTCCTCCTCATGTTTAGGTGGAACTTCTTATACTCAAGTTTGTGCCCATTTCCTCTTGTCCTGTCCCTGGGCACCATTGAGAAAAGACCAGCCCCGTCCTCCGGACTCCCTCCCTTTAAGTATTTATAAGCATTGATCAGATCCCCCCTCAGCCTTCTCTTCTCTAGACTAAAAAGACACAAGTTCCTCAGCCTCTCTTTTTAAGAGAGATGCTCTTATATAGGAGATGAAGACTGACAAAACCGGTCTTCCTCTGCCAAGAGTCTCCGCTAACAGATGAGTTTCAGTTTTGTGTGATGTAGGTAAAACCAAATGGGTTGATTCCACTGTTTTGCCAACTCCCAGCCCATCTTACAAGATGTTACAAGATGTTACAGCACCCAAGGGATTTCTTAAGTGACTCTGAGTTGGGCCAGAGCCAGAAGAAGGCTCTTCTTTCTAGAAGTACTTGATTCTAGATATAATTGGTGTGCCATGTGCCGCCGTTGGTACAGGAATAGAGGTTTCCATAGGCTGTCGAGGTGGTTTCAGTCAAGTTTGGCTTGGCCTGTAAACCACTGTTGAGAAATCATGGCTTCAATATTACAAGCTGTTAAAATATAATTAGTAGGTTAAGTATGTTCAGGTTGCCATGAGATTTTCTGAAGGTTGGTTTGGGTTCTCCAATCATAAATGTTTGGATTTTATAGCCAGAAGAGGTGTCATTAACATCATCTGGCTTTTGTTTTACAATATCTTCAGCTGATGGGAACTGGTTTAAATGTCTCGAGTGGTGCAGTTTATGCCCTGTGCAATTTCTGGTACACTGGATGTACTGGGAAACACAAACACCTTGTATCAAAAACATTCCGACTGTAATTAGCACTTCAGTGGGTGAATTTACCTTGTGGCTAGTTAAAGCTATGCAAATAGCCAGAAGAAGTCATTAACATCATCTGGCTTTTGTTTTACAATTCTTCAGCTGATGGGAACAAAGTTAAAACCATTTCTCATGTCTACAGATTTTGCATCTTCAGCTGATGGGAACTGGTTTAAATGTCTCGAGTGGTGCAGTTTATGCCCTGTGCAATTTCTGGTACACTGGATGTACTGGGAAACACAAACACCTTGTATCAAAAACATTCCGACTGTAATTAGCACTTCAGTGGGTGAATTTACCTTGTGGCTAGTTAAAGCTATGCAAAAAATTGTATTGTGCATGGCTGTCACATAGAATAATTCAAAGGTAAAACCATTTCTCATGTCTACAGATTTTGCTGAAATGTGTTTTTGTCTTCTGTGTGTTTAATGTTACATTTAATACTTTTGGGGCTGTAGAGAGAACTCCATCTACTAAAGCAAGAAAACGCTGAGCTGAAGAGAGAGATTGAAAAGCTCAGACACGACTTTGCAGAATGTAGTTCAGCGCTCACGCAGGATGGGCAGGTAGAGTTTGAAATACTTTGCAATTTGTCTTTTGGGAGTGCACATTTTTATTTTGTCATTTCTAGACCACTGGGGCCAGTTATTCAGCATCTGAACCTCTACTGATTTCAATATAAAATATAGCTTGAAGTTTTAATTTCTTATTTTACCTGGCAAGATAATGTGAAGTGGGCTAAAGATATGGAAACAACTATGTGAGATACTGAAAACATGAGAGGAATCAAGAAAAGCAGAAAAATACTACATGGAAGACAAAGGAATGAAAAAACACACAGAGCATTAGTAATTTTCAAGCGCTCATACTTCTTGGACAAGAAGAAAGGGAGTATGTCCATTATATGGCAAAGGTAGCATTTATTTTAGCCTGTATTGAGCTTGATTTGATTATAGTTTTCCTCATGTTACTCCAAGTCAGAAGTAACTCAATTTGCAGCCAGATAAATATTAGTGATACTAAATACATTTAAACTCTGTGTTCAAAGTGTCTTCAGGTGAAACTGTTGCAGATTTGGAAGTGTTCAGAAATTGGAACTTCCCTTGGGGAAATGTCAGCTTTTAAAACAACGTTTTCTGTCTGAATTGGAACAAACCCAAATATTTGGGGGAATTTACAGTAAAATGAAAACAAACTAATCATTTTTTGTTTATACAGAGATTGAAATTCTATCCAAGTGTCACCTTGTTTAATGTTAACAATATTACAATATTAGCTTTAGCTTTCTAAAGCACATTTCTAAGTTTAGGAGATGTCTCTTACACATTTATTGGACCAGGCAAGGCTCCTCTAGAAGGAGATTCAGTGTGAATTCAGACACCCAGTCTCTGAATTACTGTTTGGAAGAATGTCTCTCTTTCCCTTGGCAGGAGAGGGATTGGAAAGAAGGCGGGCTCACAGATAAGCTGGTAGTTTTGAAGATAGCTAGCAGGAATGTTTTCACTGCTCTGGTTAGTTTATCTTGACCAAACAGTATTTTTCTTCTACACAGGGTTTTACTTTGAAATAGTTACGTAAAGGGGAAAAAAGAATTATCTGAAACTCCCTCAAGTTTATCAAAGCAGCCTTTCCTAACCAATGTTTTCATGACGAGTTTTAATCTATCCTAGTTATAAAATAACTATATATTTATATCACTAGTTATAAAATAACTATATATATGTACACCAAAGCATGCTGCCTTTCCTAACCAATGTTTTCATGACGAGTTTTAATCTATCCTAGTTATAAAATAATTATATATTTATATCACTAGTTATAAAATAACTATATATATGTACAGAAAGATATTATCTATTTTTACTAAGATGGTAACATCCAAGGCTGTTTATTAGCAGACTTCCCATTGCTGTAGAGCAGTGATGCAATTAGGCAAAAATAAATGGCAACACAAATGACTCTCATACTTGCATTTGGCAAATTTTACATGCCAAAAGTATTCTACTTCTGCAGGTGGAACTGTGGACTTCAGTTGAATTTTTGCTGTATAAGGTTAAGTTTAAGTTTGAAGATAATCAAAGAGAAAAAAAAAAACACTCACTGACAAAAATCCCAGGAATAGACAAGTAAAACTACTCAGTTTACTTAGAAGAGTTATACCTGTTTTACACACCATGACTTCAATCTGCTTGACTGTTAAAACTTTAAAAATACAAATTATATGTAGCACTTCAAGGAAAGACTACTGTTCATTTTTCTGTTCTGCAACAAATTACAGAAATGTTTCCCCTTCCCTCCCGCCTCCCCTCCCCATCTTGATTCTAAACCATTAGATTAAAAAAAAGGTGGCAGAAACGAAAATGAAGTTCACTCACCTGGAAGACGTGAGGGATGGTTATCCAGATACGGATACGCACTGCGTTTTTGGTGCAACTACAAAAATCCCATTTGGACTGAATCAAAACCATGCACTGCTTACTTTCGAAGATGAGGAAGGTATGATGCATATTTGAAGCATAAAATTAATGTCTCTGAAGTATTTCATTGCCAAAGGAAAAAGATTTATATAAACATTTGGGGAAAAAAAAAATCCAACAGCCAAAGAAAAAATACCCAGAGAACCTTCCACTATTATGATACCAATCAGTAGAAAAAAATTCTTGCAACTCCTCTGCATGTCTTTGTTTGATTACCAGATATTTGATACAGTGAGAGCATCTTCTGACAGAATAAAGATTCTACTATTCTATACTACTCTAAAGATAATACAGTATTTTACCTGTTGCCTATAACCAGTGAGACTTTATGGAAACAGACCTGCCTGGAGGCATGGATAGTGGGATCAGGTTGCCTCACTGTTATTTATTTCTCATTCATTGATGCAAAAGGAAGTTTTGCTTAAGAGACTGGGGAGTAGTTTGGGTGTTTGTAATGATTAAACAAAGCTTTTTATATCTGAAAACTTGTGATTTTCCTTAGTTGCCCAGAGACTGATAGAAATGGGTAAGCATAGTGTGAAGCTGGACAGCAAAACAGCAGATGTGCGTGTGACGCCTTTTACACTTGAAATGGGAATCAAATTTGAGGTAATCAACAAACATGAAACTATAAAGATAATGAACTTGCAGTACTTAAAAAGCTTTAAGCTTAAGGTTTTTTGCGTGTTTTCAGTCACAAAGTGAAAAAAATTTTTTTTTTTCTTAGCTCCACGTCACTATTTCTGGAACGAAGATCAATGTTTTGGAAGTACCTGAACTATCCATTCCCGAGGACTGGATGAGAGACAAATTAGAGCTGAACTTCTACAAATCCAAGCAGGGGGGTGGCGGTGAAGTAGCAGATGTGAGCTACGACAGATATTCTAGAACAGCCATTATTACATTCCTCAGACCCGGAGGTACAGTATTTAATAGTTTTTTTAGCTGGATGTACAAGCCATAGTGTCCTTTCTGCATTACATTCCATTCCACAGAACATTCTGTGTTGGCTTAACCACTACGTGTAGCAAATTCTTCCCAGGGAGAGTGAAGTAGAGCAGGAAAAGATGTGGGTTCACCCACACATCTGTAAATAAAGCAGTATTTCATCATACTCCTTTTTTGATCAAACATGACCTGATACACAGCTTGTGAGCTTGCTTGCTTTCTTAACTTTGTCAAAAAAACCTATTTTTTCTTTGCATTGCAAAAAGAAAATGAGGAAAATGTGTTTGATTTTAGCTCTTGTTTCCTGACAATGAAGTTAGACAGGCATTCAGATTGCCCAACTGTATGAAATTCGATGAAGATCAGTGGAGCCACATCCATTTAGAGCAGCTGCTTTAGATTTATTTCAGAAGCTTTTGTGGGTATTTAATGATTTTGCTTTTTGGGGAATGCCAGATAAACTTTTTTTTCAAAATGCTTATGAAGAATCTACTAGTATGTTGCCATATTTTAGTTCCTAAATACATGTAAGAAAGATGAGTATGCTCTTTGATATGCTTACAAAATACGTTTTAGATTATATTACTCTTACTCCTCTTTTTATTGTTCCCCATTGCAGCAGCCAATGCCTTTGTGAGCTGTACTAAATACCCTTTCTCTGTAAATGGAAGGTGCTATAGGCTTCCTGTGTTCCTGAACACCAACGTACACTTGGAAAAGTTTCAGGTAAAAGAATCTAGTCCAGGCTAATCCCTAAATAGAACAGATATGTGGGAAATAGGGGATAGGCAGAATTTTCAGTTTGCACTTTGTGAAACTTAATAGCAAGTGTGAGTTTGCAATATGCTGCTCTGCTGATAATCTTATGTTTTGCAGTGTGAAAGCTATAATTTATTTTTAAAGGGTGCGCGTGGCTTTCCTTGATCAAATTATATCCTTACTTAACATAACGTCTGTGCTAGACAGGAGGCAGCTACTGAATTGTTTGTTAAGTAGGTTAGTAGCAGACACAACAACGTTTTTCACAGTCACAAAGCACTGTCATGTTCATCCCTAACGAGGGGCTTTGTTGATAGTCTCAGCAGAGCCCCTTGTTGTTCTATGAAACATTTGCCCATTCATTTTTTTCAATTCATTCATTCAACCCAAATAATGACTTTTCCTGTAGCCCAAGGCTGCTTGCTCATCATATTCTCACTGAAATTGTCTTTTACTTTGTATGAATAGCTTGTAATCAAGTCAGCATTGTGTATATAATCAGGCCTTTATAATTAAAGCATTGACGAGAGTGTGTGTGCGTTTGTGAGATACAACAGCACTCTTTGCAGGTGCGTATCATGTCTTGGCATGGGGTTTTTATGGAGTGATGCTGTCTGGAGTCATAAGAAATCCCCAAATCCGGGGTGTGTGTGCATTCAGGAGCACAGGACACACCAGTTCAGGTGTCTTAAAATGTCATCAAAGATTTTAGCCATATCTGCTCAAGGATATGTTTATTTCCTTTAGCTGTGCATACAGCAGCTGATGCGTAACACAAGTTTGGTTTTCTTTCCTCCATAGCTCTATTGCGGGGTTTCTAAGAAGACCATCCTGTTGAAAGGAATCCAAGAGACGGAAGATGATGAAGAAAGTGTACAGGACATGATTGAAATTCATTTTCAAAAGCCTAGTAATTACGGCGGGGAAATAGAGAATATCAAATACGTATCGAAAGGAATAACATGGGTTTGTTTTGAGGAGGATATTTAGCATGCCATAGAGGAAACTGTAGGTTGAACTCATGAAATTCCAAGTTTTTGCTTCATCAGAGGCATGGAAAGTCATGTACATTGTGCTTTAATATTCTGAAATTTATACTTGAAAAAGAGGAGCCGCCTGTCTTTCTGATTTGTGTAACAGCACAGACTTTGTATAGAAATTCAGTAAAACTCACTGTTCGGTGTGCCAGAGGTTCCTGATTAAGTCACAGAAAAAAAAGCGTTTACTTGTACTTGAAACTTAACTGAAGATTGCTTTCTGCAAATTTGCAGATTTTGTATCTTGTAGATCTTGTATCTTGCTGATTTTAGATAGGTCACATGCTCCCAAGTGGGATAAAGCTATTCCTTCTTATATTTTGGTTACAAAAGCCATATGTGATCCCATAAATTTATTATTTGGTTTTAATTTTTGTTTCTACAATGACAATTTTCCATTCTTTTTGTTCATGATTTGTCTTACTTTAAAATATTAAAATATTGAAGTTAAGAATGGAGATGATTCTTTACCTAAAACTGATTATTTTGGAACAATGCTAGGGAAACAGTCTGATGGGGCTTGTTGCGTGTGACCTGCTGGGCTGCTGGCTCTGGGAGGGTATGGAAAGAGGGGTCAGGTGGAAAAAAGCCATATAGAGTTTAGGAGAAATTAATTTTTCAGCGTGTAAAGTCCCCCTTTCATTTCCAGTTCATCCTTGCAGTTGTCATTCTAAAAGATCTTTGAAATAAAATGGAAGTGCAAAGTTGGAGGCGGATTATTTTCCAAGGAGTAATGTTTTTCCTTTTCTGCTGTCGTCCTTTTTATTTGCAACCCTTGGGGGCTGAAATGGTTTGTCAACAACGGTCTCAACTTCAAAGCCACACGGGTCTAACATTGAAAATAACTTATTTTCATAGTATTTGACATCTTAATACGCAGGAAAAGGACAATGCACCAAGCTAGTGGAAGAGGAGCACTGTGGATATACCTCAGGTGTATCTATTATTCTTCTAGGAATTATTATTATTCTAGAGAAGCTGTTAGTAGGCGATAGATAGAGTATTTGAAAGGAAAAGGCTGCCAGCACCACAGCTGGTGGTGAATTTCCTGCTGGGTGCGATACGTGTGACCGCAGCACCTCTTACTGTTTAAATCATGCAAAGACACGGACCGATTACCTGACAATTATGAAATAATAATAAAAAAAACCCCAGTAGTACTATTGCAGTATTTATGGAGATTGCGTACTTTTGCATGTAACAGTCTTAAAATGTTGATGAGATCAGATGCCTTAAAAATGAAGGCGGGGGGGCTGATGAAGCGAAAAAGTGCTGTGAATTTTAACTGCACCGGTTTTAATGATGAAAAGCGAGAATGCAGAATTTAGGTGATGTTTCTATAAATGACAAGTACCCCTTTTCTTCTACCTGCTGGCGTGAAGCTGGTTTGACTGGAAGCCTGAAGAAGAGCTGTATGACCTTTTTCCAGGCCCCTACTGCCTACAGGTGCTTCCCGTCTCCACCGACGCCGCTCCCGCCCTCAGCCAAACCTCCACTCCGACTCGCTCCCACAGCCCGGCTGGATTTTCACCAATTGTGAAAATCGGGATTATTCTGGAGTTTATCCTGGGGGCGGCCCGGGGAAGGCCGCCCCCGCCTCCCGCCCCCGGGCGCCCGGGCCGCCATTTCCTTTCGCTTTCCCCGCCGGTCTGGGGCCGAGCCGAGCCCTCCGGCTCCTCCCCGCGGGGAGAGGTGACCTCCCCGTCTCCCCGGACGCTGGCGGAAGCCTCACCTCAGCGGATCGGCGGCCATGGCAAGTGTTTTGGGGCCTGCGGGGCCGTGAGGGGAGCGGCGGGGCCGTGAGGGGAGCGCGGCGGCGGCGGGAGGCGGCGGCCGCTCTGAGGGGAAGGGCCGGGTTCCCAGCGGGAGGTTTCAGGGTGCGGAGAGCGGGGGAGAGCCCGGTGCTTTCCGCCGGCCTTCTCCCGCCTCCGGAGCCCCCTCACGGAAGGGGTAGAAGGAACGACCTTCTCCGGCACCGGTGCTGAAAAGCCTCGGGGGGTTAAAAGTACCGGCGCCGTGAAGGACAGGAGCGAGTCGAGTCCGCCCCTCGCCTGAGGAAGCACAGGGTGCTCGGCCGTGGCCTGCTGCCCTGGGCCTCCTGTCAGGGGTGGCAACGGCTCCGATTTCCTTCTCGCTAGCATGAATACCTCATTTTTTTTAATATCAGTGAGAACCGATGTGCTCTGTGGGTAAGTCTGGTCTCTTGCCGGCCTTGATCCGTGTGGCAAGTTGGCCAAGAAAGGGCAGATGGTTGCCAGGGCACGGCGTCCCGCTGCTCCTCTCCCCTGCAGCCTCACATTCCCCTCTCTCAGCCAGCACGGACGTGTCTCAGAAGTGATTCAGCACAAAAGAATTGTATCTTCATGGGTGCTTTTTTTTTTTTTTTTTTTGGGGGGGGTTTTTGGTTGGTTTTTTTTTTTTTTTCCCTAACCCCACTAGCAGGCACGAGCGTCGTTCCAAAATACCAGCTGGCAAGGTGTGAGATGCTGTCTGGCAGCAGAGTGCTCCCGCTCCCGCAGGGGCTGTGCCGAGCCTGAGAAAATCCTCCACAAAGCGCCCTCAGCCTCGGGAGCACCCTCTTTATATTCTCTTCGTGTTGTCTCATTAGTGCGGAAACTTGCTTTCGCACGAACGTTACCACCGACATAATTGCCTTATGCAATTAAAGCTCCTGGCTCTTTAAATTCCATGGGTAACAAAAAAAAAAGAAAGAAAAAGGGCTCACGCCTTTAGGAATTAAAAGCTTTGCGTGGTTGGGCAGTCGGATTGAATATCTCCATGCTCCCTGCAGAAACACTGCTGTCGAGGCTTTGGACACATGTCGACTTCTGCAGGCTTTGGAGCTGCTCTGCTGGCCCTAACGTTTTATGCAGCCCAGGTCCAGAAGAAACTTCGTAAGAGAAGTCTGAAGAATGTAGATGGAATGACTGACCTCGAGTACAGCCGCTGTGAAGTTACTGGCAGTTCGTTCCTGTGAACGCTGCCATGCAAACATACTGAATTATTTTCTTTCCTCCAAAAAGTCAATGAACTGTTACGAAATGTACTCAGTGTTCCACCATGTACAGTCATTTTGCTGTGATATTCCCAGCGAAATGTTACTGTTTATGTCTGTGTAATAAGAATGGAAAGAAAATATGCTTTTCTTAACAAGGCATGGATGCAAAGCCTATTTAGGATGGATTTCATGTTTGCAGCATGGGGAGGTTTGGCTCTGATGAAAATCATGTGTGTAGTTAGTTGTTACACGCACTGCGAGTCTCAAATGACTGGGATTATGTTCTTCCAATTTAACAAGGTTATCCATTCAGTAAGTGGAGAGAGATGAGTCAGAGCACAACCCCAGATCCCAGCTCGCATCGATTTAACAAGTAAGGACAGTCTGAATCCGACCCTTCCACTCTGAAAAGATGATCCTTACTGAACAGTACATGCAATTACAATTTTTCATTCCATTCAAATTTTGAATATTAAAGTCGGAGGAAACAACCTTATCAGGGTGACACTGGACCTTTCATTTGAGAAGCTGTTAAATTTAGATGTAATTTTTACTGCTTTAAGAAAAGAAGATATGGAGAGGGTGTAAATCACGCTGAAGAGCTGGGCCATTTTTTACTGCAGGGTAATGGAAAGGTGCCTGAGGGAGCCTGGCATTTGCGGAAATCTGATTCAGCAGCTTCTTAATGACATACTTAAATGTGTGTGTTGTCTTTGCAAAGGGAAAGGGAGTCATTTCAGTGATTGGGGTGAATCGGGGTAACCTCTACGGGAGCTCCCTGGTACTCCCTGCCTTTACAGTGTGCCGTGTCTCTCTGTGCAGGCCACAGGACAAGCTGCTAAAGCAGCGAGGACGGTTGTCATCACTGGTGTTCCAGATGGCCTTCTGCACGATGATGTCATGACTGACATACTGATGATTCACTTCCAAATGTCGAAGAATAACGGGGGAGATGTGGAAGAAGTAATATATCCGACGATGCAAAAAGGAGTTGCATATGTAACTTTTGAAGATCAGGAAGGTATGAAATGTAGTCGTCCCCCAAAGTATTAGCCCTAGAATGTTAACCCTAAGCCAAATTATTTTAAATTGCTTACTGATAATAGGATTCTATAGGACTGGGAGACTAACACCTCTCTTTTAGTCAAAGTTTTAGGTTTTTATTTCTGTTCAGTGAAGACATGACTCTGAACAGGCTTTGTGCAAAGCGTTTGTTGTGTTTGGTTTTAGGAATAAATTTAGATCATGCATAACAGATATGATTTTTGTAGCCAGGGCTTTGAGAATAAATCTCTGCCAATTAATGTTCTAAGAAGAGACAGACTTCTGTCTCTCTCCCAACAATTTTGACTAATACATAAAATAGTAGGCAAGAGTGTTGAGCTGCCTGCGTGTATGTTTTTGTCAGGGAAAACATGAAACAGGCCGGTGAAGTGTTCTGCCATCAGACTGGCAATGGTGCATTATCTTAGTGTGCAACAAGTGAATCTGGCTTTCTCTTTAGTTGTAGAGCAAGTTCTAAAGAAGGATGAACATCGACTAGAAGACAAGAGGTTGTCCAGATACTATCTGCTGACAGTAACCCGTTACTGTGAACATGTAAGCACATTCATAATTTATCTGCTTGTACTTCCATTGCTACGTTAACCATTACTTAACTTTTCTAATTCCAACTTCTAGGTCTTCAGTTCTGTCACGTCTGTCCTCAACATGTCTGTTTTCAAAGATCAGTTTGTTTTAGAAGACCTGATAGAAGAACTTAAGAAGAAGAGCAGCGCAGCTTTGAGCTTTGGTCCTTTGCAATCCAACGGGCATGTTTCTGTTCAAGGGTCATTTCCAGCAATCAAATTGCTAAGAGACTTTCTCTTACTAAAAGCAAAATCCCTTTCAGAGAAGGACACAGGAGAAGTTCGTACGTCCCATCAGAGACCAAGGAGGAGGTTACAGCAACCCAGACTTACCACGGAGACGAGTCGTTTCGTTCATGGCGCAGGGGAAAAACAAGTGGTTGTTCTTGACACAGATGTATATCACTACATGAAGAACTTTTATCCCAGGACATTCCTAGGGAATGATGATGTGGCAGTTTCAGGCGTTACCGATGGTGATGTAACTATGGTGTATATTGAGAATGCTGGAAGTAGGTCTAACGCCAAACAGGTGTTAGGAGTCAAAGAGAAAATTGAAAATCAGTCTCTGAAACTCCATTATCTTTTACGTAAAGAAAGGATCTACTTTGAGGAGCAAAGTGGAGATAAAAAGCAGAGATATAGACAGGCGTGTAAAAGTCTACACCCCTATCACCCTCATGTTTTGGTGATTCCTTACGATACTCACATTGATGTTATAGGATATTCTTCTGAGATTTTTGAATTTACGAAGGCGCTGAGCAATAAGATTCAGAGCCCCCTTCAGACCAAGTAGGAAGTTAGTCTTCATGCTTTTTGCACGTTGTTCTGGTGTGACCTGTGCACCTCCGTGTCCCTGCAGATCCGTCACGTTCCTCCCACTCGCGGGCTAGGAAGTCTGCACGTGAACGAACTCACTCCCCCAAAATTCCAAATTAAGTTCAGAACAGGAAACAAATGATTTCTGTATCTCTTGTAAGCTTAGAGACCAAAGGTGTTAGGCCTCCTCTGGCCAGATCTAGCCACCTTTTTGCTTTTGCTAACCGCGCTCTGGGCACACGCGCACTCATTCCACCTTGCTGTCGGGGAGCATATGATAAGAAAAGAGGAATATTTTTTTTAAGAAGTCAGACTGACAAAGCTGGGCGAGCCAACCTGATGTGAAATACTGTGTCGAAGTTAAGGTGTATTTCTTTGTGCTGGGACATGACTGCTAAAAATGGGAATGGTGGCCTTTTTCTGTTCCCTTTAGTACAGAAGGAAGTTCTCGTCATTGGGATGCACAAAGAAGGTAAAGATTCAGCACTTGAGGGGGGACTAAACACTTTATTAAATTTACAGGTTAGTCGTGTCCCGAGAAAGACCTTACAAGATGGCATTGGAAGTTCTTGACGGTTGAAAATAAGCAAATTTGTATTCACAGGAGCAATAATGGGGTTTTTCCCAGCTGCAAGGGCATTTGCAGCATCCTTTGACAGCACGTTATTTAGACATGAAAGTGTATCCAAAGTTTTGAGGGGAAAATCTTGGGACATTTAGACTTTTGAATCAGATTCTGTTTATGTAAATACGTTTATAGATCCATTACAAAGGTCCAAATGGCCATTCTAATTTAGGCTTTTTATAAAACCAATTTAGAAAATAACTTATTTTATGATACAGCGTGTTCAGAGTATTTTGTCAAAACACACAGAGCAGTGGCTCTTTTGTCTTATGTGTGGGAAAAGTTTTATTATTTTTTTTTAATGCCATTAAAGAAATTAACTCTACAGAGTATCGTGTCCGTGTTCTTTTGGTGGGAAGCCCAAACTTAAAGCCTGAAGAAATGCTTTAGGTGTTTTCTTTTCACGACTGATAATCCGTCGCAATTATGCCGGGGAAAGATAAAGTTGTTCACTTAGTGCCAGTGCTCTGTATTAAAACACACTGTCAAAGGGGGAAGATGATGAGCTCAAGGGGAGTGGTATTTAGGAGGGGGTTGGAGGTGAGGCTGGGGATGGGTGCCCCGACTCAGGTCCTGGAAGAGCCCCTCTCCTGCTCCCCTCCAGCGCTGGGCTCTTTTGGGTGTTCCCCGTGGAGCTTAAGCAGAAATGGGAAGTCTTTCAACCTTGTAAAAGAGAAAATCCTCTATGAGGATAATCCTTTAATGAAATTAGTGCTCTTCACTAGTGTCCGGATTGATCTTCCCTTTTCTTTCCTGACGGGCAGTTTTTTTCTGATTCAGACCATGAGTATTTCCTAGTCAATCAATGTTTAGGGTTAGGCTGGTAAACTGGTGGCACTGGTGTCAGTGTGAATCCTTACCGGTTGAGCGTCGCTTTCCCACTTGCCATCTCTGCTCTTGTCATTTCTTTAGACAAAAAAAAAATAAATAAATAATAGAGCTTTGCATTGGTTGTTGTGTATTTATGGAACACCTGGTATAATCGGGATCCGGATCCGGGGTAGATGCTCTGCTCTGGTGAGACCTCACCTGGAGTATTGTGTGCAGGTCTGGAGCCCTCAGTATAAGAAGGACATTGACCTGATGGTGAGGGTCCAGAGGAGGGCCACAAGGATGATCAGGGGATTGGAGCACCTCTGCTACGAGGACAGGCTGAGGGAACTGGGGTTGTTCAGCCTGGAGAAGAGGAGGCTCCGGGGAGACCTAATAGCAGCCTTCCAGTACCTGAAGGGAGCCTACAGGAAGGCTGGGGAGAGCCTGTTTAGAAAGGCCTGTAGTGACAGGACGAGGGGCAATGGCTTCAAGCTGGAGGGGAACAGCTTTAGACTGGAGATGAGGAGAGGGTTCTTCCCTGTGAGGGTGGTGGAGCACTGGAACAGGTTGCCCAGGGAGGTGGTTGAGGCCCCTTCCCTGGAGATATTCAAGGAGAGGCTCGACGAGGCCCTGGGCAACCTGGTCTAGTTGGGGGTGTCCCTGCTGACTGCGGGGGGGTCGGACTAGATGGCCTTTGGAGGTCCCTTCCGGCCTGGGCAATTCTATGATTCTATGTTAACACTCCAGGCTTTCTAGGGCTGGTTTTTCATGTGGGATTTGCAGCAGCCTTGGCCAGGAACAGGCCACCTTTGTCACCTCTGATGGTTCCTCATGGCTGTGCAAGGGCAGGGTCTTTCCTAGTGACAGCAGAGAAGCTGTGGCACCTACGGCCTGTGACTGACTTAGGATTTAACCCCACAGAGGAACCTGCAGCAGGAAAAAAGAAAAAAAAAAAAAAAAGAGCCCTGATCCCACCAGGATAAACCAGTGTTTGCTGTAAAACATAAACAGCATTTCAGGGGGATAACATCACAAGCTAAACATGTATTTTTTCCTTCCTTCACAATGCAGATAGCGTGGAAAACAATAGATGTTTAGCAAAAATAGATAGTCCGATTTTGTCATTACCATGAATACTTAAACAAATCGCGCTCGGGTCCGGTAAGAGGCTTGCCAGCTCTCGTTCTCACAGTTATTTTTGTGGCAGGGAAAGCACTGCTGTATCTATTAAACTCCGCTTGACAAAGGCACTTAGTATTTGTGTATATTGGAAAATATCCGGGAAGCCGTATCGAGATGTTATCCCGAGATCTAAACCAGTTGCTGCTGACTCAGTACTCCCAGCACCGGGTTTGGCACTTTTAATTTGGATGGAGAATTTGCTCCTGGGACCTCAACAAAATATTTGTCCTTATTGCTGTGCCGAGGCTTGCTGCCCTTCGCCAGAAGGGAACACGGAACAGGTCACGTTGTGAACATACAGTGCCAAATTTTGACTTCAGGCATGACTTCTACTGACAAAACCAGTAGGAAAAAAAGTACTGTGTCCAGTTCTGGGCTCCCCAGTTCGAGAAGGACAGGGAACTGCTGGAGAGGGAACAGCAGAGGGCTACAACGATGATGAGGGGGCTGGAGCATCTCTACTACAAGGAAAGGCTGAGGGACTTGGGGCTTTTTAGTCTGGAGAAGAGAAGGCTGAGGGGGGATCTGATCAGCACCTATAAATACTTCAAGGGTGGGTGTCAGGAGGATGGGGCCAGACTCTTCTCAGTGGTGCCCAGGGACAGGACAAGAGGAAATGGGCACAAACTTGAACATAATAAGTTCCACCTAAACATGAGGAGGAACTTCTTTGCTGTGAGGGTGGCAGAGCCCTGGCAGAGGCTGCCCAGGGAGGTGGTGGAGTCTCCTTCTCTGGCGACATTCAAACCCCCCCGGACACATTCCTGTGGGACCTGCTCTGGGTGGACCTGCTTTGGCAGGGGGTTGGACTGGATGATCTCCAGAGGTCCCTTCCAACCCCATGTCATTCTGTGATTCTGTTTAATTGTTAACCAAACTGTCTCTGTCACTTTCAAATTGCACTGAAACTTTCTCTGTTAAAAAAAGACCTGCCAGGTCTCCTGAAAGGAGATTGCAAGAGTGCCATTCTCTTCCTGCTTTTGAGAGCCATGTCTCTTATTTTTTTCAAAAGAAATCCCACAAAACGATGCGTAGGAAAAACAAACAGCATTACTAGCAAATAACTCGTTCTTCACCACATTTTTTAGGCTTTTGTCTTCATCCAGCCACGCTGGAGAGTGGGACCCACGGCAGAGAGGAGATGAATTTTGCAGTTGGTGCATCCGGAGGAGCCCAGGCTCTCAGGAGGCTCCTGTAAACAAACACACACGTGTTCCTGTTTGGTTGCACATCTTGTGCAAGAGAAAAGCAGCTGGAGAGCAGGGCCAAGGAAGCGCTGGGGAAATTCCTCCTCCCTTGCACGAGGCTTCCGTGGTGGCTCCTTCCCTTCCATTCAGCGCGGCTGGTGGGTGTTTACAGGAGACCTGGCTCCTCTCCAATTTCATTCAAAATAACTCACTTCTTGTCTCTTGGGCTTCTACCCTTCGATCTGCTGCAGTTACCAATGTAAGGACCTTTTTTTCCAATCCCTCTCTTTTAAAATAAGAGCACAGTGAAATCCCAGGTAGATACTTCACCGCTCTTACCTAGCGTTAGAAGGTGGGAGTCTTCCCCGATTCCTGCAGCAGGCTGTCTCAAGGTAACCAGCCAACTTGGCTAAGAGAAAAAGAATAATTCATGATTCATTTTAATTTTTTCTTTTTTTTTAAATAAAAACCCCAACAGAACAAAACAGAAAACCTGAGTCAAAACTGCACAATTCAGAATTGACAGAACCTGGTCTGGTTGCACTTAATTTTTTCCTTTAGCTCCAAAGCTGCAGAACATCTGCTGGAAAACAAGTCCCTTTTTCTCCTCGGCCTAACGCAGCTTTCCTTCCCTTGTCCCCCCACACCCCTTAATGAGCTTTGAAGAAATCTCCTAGAAGTAACTCAGTTAAGAAGAAATACTCCCTTTGACGGCAGCATTGCACCAAAGCCATTTTTCAGGTGGGTTCCCCACCTCGTTACTGCCGTCCCCTTTGTGACAGGAGCAATATAGATCAGGACCTGCCGCACGGAGTGCTTTACCCCCCAGAAAAGCTGTATAAAATGCAGAAAAATCGAAGTTCTGTTATCTTTTTGCAGGTGAAACCGTGAACAGGGAACACACGGCACGCTGAGCACGGTACGTGCAGATGGCAGCGCTGTCGCTTGGACCCCATCGCACAGAAGACGGGTGGATTGTCTCCAAGGTGGAAGCCATGGCTGACAGTCACAACTCATCCCCCATCAAGCTACAAGCAGCAGGCGGCGCGTGCTGCATATGGAGCCGTGCTCCAGGAACAGCTTGATATTTCCTGGCAAGCTCAAGGGTTCCAGCACACGGAGATGATCCGTATCGGGTCAGGTCTTGACTAACAGCTACTGATGTGATCTACTTCTCGGGCTGGACATGAGGAGATGAGCAGGGGCCACCTTCCCCAGAGGGTTCCACCACCTTGTCCCATCCGACTTCGGGCTACGAAGATGGTCAAGGGACTGGAGCATCTCTCTGCTGAGGAAAGGCTGAGAGACCTGGTGCTGTTCAGCTGGAGAAGAGCAGACTGAGAGGGAATCTCATTGATGCTCATCAATATCTAAAGGGTGGGTGGCAAGAGGATGGGGCGCAAGACAAGGGGCAATGGGCACAAACTGGAACGCAGGAAATTCTGTCTGAACATAAGGAAAAACTTTCCTGTGAGGGTGGCAGAGCCCTGGAAGAGGCTGCCCAGGGAGGTGGTGGAGTCTCCTTCTCTGGAGACATTCAAACCCCACCTGGATGGGTTCTTGTCCAACTGCTCCGGGTGACCCTGCTCTGGCAGGGGGTTGGACCAGATGATCTCCAGAGGTCCTTTCCAACCCCTGTGATTCTGTGACTTCTCCTGCCATAAACACGGGGAGCACAAGAGGGAGCCAGATGCTTTGGAGCTGAAATCCCAAAGTCTCGGCTGGGGACCTGCCGCTGGGGCACTGGCGGAAGGAGGAGATGCCAGAAGCTGGTCCTGCTCTGTCCCTGAGCTGCTGGAAACAGAGCTCAAGTCACGTTTGCCTGGAGCAGATGTTGGGAACGGTCCCTTCCAGTCATCGCTCAGGAGGTGCTCTTACATCACCTTCTGTCAAGGTTATATAAAAAGGGTTAAGGAAATTGAGAACTTCACTGATTTCATACTGAAATTATGGATCAATTCAATGACCAGAAGCTCGAGTGCTGCTGTGGTTAATCCCTTGTTAAACATCATCACTTCAGCCCGCAGAGCCCTGAACCAGGCAAGCCCAAGGTGACACCATGCAGGGCAAGGACACCTTGTTGAGCACATGAGCTGTGGGGGGTCACCACCCCGTTACCACTCCACTGAGGCAGAAGGAAGTGACCA